CTTCAGAGTTGACAAAAAACTAAGACCTAATTCAAAAATCGACGCTGGTTAGACCAAGCAGTTTCTTTTCCTCTTTTAAACAAAAAAAGAACGAACTCTATACGACAAACCGCTATCAAAAGTTCTGGGATGCACTTCAAGTGTAACTCTCATATAGAGAAAACGCTCTATTAAACGTTGTATGAAATACTCGATTTTAGGACTTCTAGGAAAATGCTTGTAGTTTTTTGATGCAAGGTCATATTGCGTTCTGCGCGGTCTTATTTTGATCAAAGGGCCTTCAAGTTAGTTTTGATAAATGGACGATGAAATTAATGTTTGACATTTAAACAATGCTTCATCACGTTCTTTCTCCAAAAACAAATAAAACATCATTTAAATTCAACAATTACTACTGCGAAGCTAAAATTTGATCTTACAAAGAACAACGTGTAACCAACGTACATCGAAACTACTCTGTTTCTAATGCTTTAAAAACCGATTCATGAGCGTACCTGCTCAGCATTCCTGAATTTGTTCGAACTTTGAATACGTGTACTACAATAACTACAATGGCGACAGCGTTCAATCCATAGCCATATTGTTTCTCTTTCAAACGGATCTTATTTCAGTTGTCAACGTGTATGCGTGTGTGTTTGTTCTGAAATTGTTTGTATAAATTCCATCCGTCCAGTTTCTCTTTGCGTATAGTTTTACCTTTTTAAAATGTGTGATATGGAAAATAATAGTTGTTTACCACTGTACGTCTGCTCTGTAAATCCGCAGAAATGTGCATGCCCAATGTTTATTCGTAGTAAGAACAAGGCTACTGCATCTATATCAAACACTTTGAAACAACAATGATTTTTATCGAACAATCCACATTATCTATACATCTCGCTCTGGACCACAGAATATCATACAGAAGAAAGCAAAAAGAAGAAACTTGACACATGACAAAGGATTTCACAGCACATAAAAGACAGTTTACGTCATTTAAAAATCTAAAGCAATCTGTCCTGCGATCTTATAGATTCACATTAAAAATCAGTTTCGAAAAAAGGCTGCTCTTGAAAAGAAACAACAAAATTTTGTTGTCTGATTATCTTTTATATTGATATCGTTGATAAAAATAATCAGTTTCTGCAATACCGGATCAGCTTTTTGACACAAAAAAGAACCTCAATTTCTCTTGAAAGAAGTATATTTTAACTAACATTCATCCACATTCGATAATGGTCATTTCGCGATCTTCATCTATTTTATGAGAAAAATAGAGAAATCAGTTTGTGGAACTAATCGAAATATCAGTTCACTGGTTTTATCACAAATTCATGTAGCAGACATCTAATTCTTTCACTTTTCTTTACCTATCTTTTTTAAAATAATTCAATGATCAAGATTTCCTACGATTGCCAGGAATATAGATAATAACTACTAATAAAATTACAAAGCATGAAATATTTCGAATAAGTCACCTTTTTCTTTAAGTTTCTGCACATTTGAAATATAAACTATTTTTCCAAGGATCTCGAATAGTGAATTAAATAAACCCTTATTCATAAAATTAGAGTAATAAACTTTTAAAAATAGATATATACCTGGTCTGCTTATTCTATTGAATGGAAAACACACTACTATCGGAAAATACTCTTAATGAAGAATTGTAACGTGTACTCAATAAAATTCGACGAAAATTTGCTTTAGAAAAATGTTTATCTTGGACTGTTCGTTTGAAGTGTGCTTTCGAAAATAATGGACTTTATTTGCATCAACAAAAAATACACTGTTTTGTAGAGAATTAAACGAGGAATCGTTTGGAAAAAAAACGACTGAGCAAGCGAGTATTAAAAGAAATATCATTGAAATACTAAGTGATCCATTCTTTATGAAACACCCGTTATAATACATGTCTGACAACACTTCTGTCAATAGCATTGAAGAATAACGGCATAAGAAAGAGAACGAGAAAGAAAAAAAAGATTAATACTCCGCGGCGGGGAATCGAACCCCGGTTTCCCGCGTGACAGGCGGGGATACTAACCACTATACTACCGCGGACAGAAAACAATATAATACATCAATATTTTCAATGTAATCTATGTTTCGAATGTTAAGGTATTTATATAATTCAAAACAGTTATAACTTGTGTTAAGTTTTGTCTAGAGAAAAAAGAACAGCGAATGTTTATTGAATATTGTAGCTGTACCATCTCTAATATGTATTATGTGTATATAATTGATTCTTATTAAACAGTCGGGCATCTCGATTGATAGTTCAATATCGAAGAACGCCGCGCCTTATGAACGACAACCAAAATGAACGTATGGCTGAACCAACACTTACTTTTAACTCGAAAAACATCTTTCAATAGGATATTTTCCATGTCAGAATGAATAAATGAAACACTCTCACGAACTTTTTTCGACGCAAGTCAATCCATGAAGTTTTTTTTCAATGTTAATAAAAACAAAACTTTATTTTTTTTTCATAACTAAAAGTGTTATATTTGATAAAAAAAAATGTTTAGAACATGTTCGAATTAGAAGAGCGAGTGGAAACAGGCATTTGATCATCATCATTGTTGATGGTTTTATCTTCTTTCCATGGTATAATATATTCAAGTGCTTGTTGTCGTAAAAGTAATCTTTCACTTTGTCTGATTTGTCGAAGAAGATTTTGACATTGTTCTCGATGAACATCAACTTGATTAAATACTTGATTTCAAAGAAAATCAAAAACAAACAATGCTTGATTTTTTTGTTTGAACAAACCATTGAGCTAAATCAAGTTTTTCTTTGATATTTAATTGTTCTATAAAAGGACAAGAATTTTGATTGGAAAAAATTCTTGTTAATTGTGTAAAAACATCTTGAAAATCGATTTTGGATAAATTATTTTGAAAAAATGTTAACATTTCTTCAAGATCTTCTTTATTTTGAGCTATTTTCATTAATAATGAATGTTCCAATAAGAGAAGCCAATGCTTTTTCAAATTGAAGAATAATTCGAATAAAAGAACGAAATGATAATATTTTCTCGTTATCAAAATCTTTTATATGTGAATTAAGATTAGTCAAAATCCAGTGAAGACGATGATAAACTGGTAAATCATGTTGATTATCAATAGTATTTGCTTTTGAATCGATCTCTTCTCGACAAGACATTAAATTTTTAAGAATATCAGTAATTACATCTAACGATGATCTATCTATCTTGTGTAAACTCTCTCGTTGCTTGTGCGACATGCAGAATTCAATTCTCTATCTAACGGTGGTCTTTATGGTGGCGGTCATCGAGCGAAAATGGAGTTCAACCCTCAAATACTGGTTCTGTACCTAGGTTTTCCAGGTATTTCTTGCTAATATTCGTCTATGAGCTTTTGTAAACTCTCTCTTTGCTTGTGCGGAAATAACTCTCGTTCTATATGGTGAGCTTCATCAATATTGATCAATCGCGCGATTAAAAAGGAAAAGAATGGAGAAAGAAAAGTATAGATACATTCGATAAATGCATGGGATGGAAAAAGAATATACCAGTATGGTAGCGATATGCTTGTATGAAAAGGCTACAAGTCGAACACACTCGCTACTTATTTTTAAGCTTATTTGTTCATTTTTTTTGTTTTTGTACCGATACACATGTGTCGATTCGCACTGCAAGTAAAGCTGACCCAAAATCTCAGTCAAAAACATTGTTGACATATTTTCACCTATCATTTTCCGTAACATTATTTTCCAAGATCGTTTAAATTTGTTGACTTGACTGATGATGTCAGAAGTAAACTCTCGAAACGTCTCAGATAAGAGTTTTCGAATTCTCACCATTAAAGTTTAAACCCTCGGGTAAGCCTTAAGTCTAGGGACTTGATTATTAAGTCAATTTGTACTTCACATCTTGTGTAATGTTCTTTTTATATATTTTTTATTTATCGTCAAATAGTATAACTATTTACAAAAAATTGTTAAATTATTCAACTAGTTTGATTAGCAAACTGTTTAATTTCAACGAGTCAAATACTAATCATACTTGTGTGGTTGCCGTTTATGGTAAGCCTAAATATACAATAAAGCAATAAAGCATTCTCATACTGTGAACATCACTTAGTATTCAATCGTGCAGGATAACTATATCTACCACTAGAATTTTATTTCAATCCTTCATTGCAACGTTATTCCTAGTGTCAACTACTATACATGAGAAAAACTAATTTGATGAATGAACATCCGGATATTGATAGTATTCTAGTGGTAGCGTTGGATGCTGCGGTTGAAAATATCTTTCTTGATCTGAAACATTAGTGACCTGCATCATTTGATCTTCATCGACACGTGACATAAGAGGAGAATGAGGCATACGTCTAAACGAACGAAAGAAAACTAGAGATGAAAATGAGAAAGCGAAATTAAAGGAAAAATCGGAAGTAGTCTTATTCTACCTGTTTATATGTGGTTGCTGTGGTTGATTTGTAGCGTCATCACACCAAAAATTATTTGAGCTTTGAATACCAGGAGATTGATAATGAACCGTACGATCGACTGGTACCCAGGTCCAAAAAAACGGCCCGTTAACGGCCAGTTAATCTCCAGTAAACGGTCACACAAAAAACGGCGCGTTAACGTTATGAAAACGGC